TGAGGGGCCAGGCTCTACGTCTCCGCTCCGAGCCCCACATCCACCCTCATGGGGGGGTCGTAGAGTGAGTCTGGGCTGTCGCAATTAGCGCCCCCTGGTTTGATACAGCCCCGTTTAGCAGACAAGCTCCCCCGTAGCTCTGTAGACACAGGGACATTCCTACTCCCAAATAGGGACCGCCACACCCAGACCTGCTCCGCAGTAACTCCAGGTGTCAATGGCACCTGGCTGGGGCAGGGACCGTCTCCTGGCCTTCCTCTGTTACAGGAAAACCCGAGGAAGTGAGTGCCCTGCCCAGGAAGGGAAGGGTTAAAGACGCTGCTAAGCCGGGCTGGGAAGGGGTCATGGCTTGGATGGTAGACAGGGAAGGAAACCCATGGGGTGGGGCAGGGGCCCAGCAGGGGGCGCTCTCCCCTGGCAGTGAGAGCTGGCCCCAAAGCCCCTGGGCAGCACTAGGGGGCGCTGGGCTGCAGGGGGTGGGGAAGGGGGCTCGGTAGGGGGCACTGTGCTGCCGGGGGCGGGAACCTGTCTCTAGGGTATCCAGGCTCAGCAGCTGGAGGGGTCGGGGCTCCCCCTGGCAGAGCGTGGGGGGCAGGGATTCTGTCCTGGGCCTTCCCCTGTCCCAGCTGCCCTGTAGGGCAGAGGGGCAGGGCTGATACATGGGGATCAGGGTCGACTCATGGACAAATCTGCTTCATGTCTTTGCAGGGTAAGGACCAGCCCCGAGACAGAGCAGATGAGACCCCAGCTCTGCTTCCCATCCCAATCTACCTGCCCTAGGATTCAGGACTCCTGGGTTCTCTCCCCGGCTCGGGATGGGAAGTGTTGTCCAGTGGTTACACCAGGGGGGCGAGGAGGTTTTAATGTTGTATTTTTTAGTTATTTTCCTAGTGATAGGTTGATTCTCATTAGTTGATAACCATTAAAAATGTTGATTTGCAACTAAATATAGTCTTTACACTAAATCTGGTGCTTTTTCTTTTGCTAACCATGATGGTAAACTATATCTATCCACGTTGATTGAAGCAGTTATATGGAGTCATTTACATTTCTTCAGTCTAATTTTTACATTTTGATTATGTTGGAAAATGGCAAATGATACATTTATTTCCTAGATTATGCTGATTTTTTTACTTCTGATTTGTACAATCTCTGTTTGGATGGAAATTCAAATGCACTCAGAAATGCACAGAAACAGCATTTTCAATATGTTTATTAATTAAATAAAACTACCTTAAATGTGCTGAATACATAATAAAAAAAAAGTGGATCGAAACGTATTTTTCATTTGAACCTAACTGATGTAAGGAGGTATCTGCAGTTAGTGACATGAACTGATTGTTTCTAGTCATCGTATCTCTCAGATATTAGAACTAGTAGATCTGATCCCCCCACGTGTAGTATTTATTCATAGATTGGAAGAGGAAAAGAAGCTTTCCTGCTTTCTCAACTCCCCGTCAGTATCGGAAATTTGAATGAACGTGTCATTGAACTGAACGAGCTGAATACACTGAACTGAAGAAAAGATTCTTTCTGTGCCTGCAGAAGAGGCGACTGCTGTCAAAAGCTGGTTTTACCCTTGCAGCAAACTCTGGTTCCAGGTGCTCAGCCAACGACTTCCACGAATTCAGTGGATTGACGTCCATTGAAACTGGGCAGCAAACACGGTCTAAACTACAGCAAGTCTAGGCATTAACATGGATTGTTACAATTTCAAATTTAATCCCCAATAGTCTTGTTTTTAAACAAACAAACTAACATGTTTTTTATTTAAATGAAAATAATCCAATTGACATTTTTCTTAAATCCCTTTTGTGTTTTTTTTTTTTTTTTGTTTAAAAAAATCCTTTTGATTCACCCTGATTTTAGAAGAACTTCCACATTCAAGTTAATCAAACTCTCTCTATTTCGTTATAGGAGAGAAAGCAGCAAAATTCATCATATCACTAATTCATTGAAAATTATTTACTCGATCTTAAAAGAGACTAAGTAGAGGGTTGGACACTTGATTGTTTATATAGGCCCAGTTTCCATCCCTGAACCAGTAACAATTGCACAGGATAATGCCCCAAACCCTACAGTTGATTGTCAAATCGTCTGAGCCATTCCTCGTCTGTGCTTCTGGTTTCAGAAGTTTGAGACCAACAAAAACTTCCCCTCGGCAGTCGGTGCCCATGTGGCGCTGCAGACAGAGGAGCCTGAGAAGTACCATTATGACATCGACCACAACTCAGCAACCCGCCCATCACTCACTCCCTCCACTAACCCTGATCTTAAATCCTCACCCTGCCACCTGTCTGGGTCATCTCTCCCTTTGAAACCGGCAGGTTAGCTCATTTTAACCAATGGGGTTGAATTATGCAAATCTCCTGGAGAGAGTTAGCACTGACTGGCTGAGTTAACTCTGATGTCACAAAGCGCCTCCGCCTACAGCACCAATTTAATGAGCGTGGTGCAGAAAATCAGGCTTTTCTGGTGCTGCAGTTTTCCACTTGTCACCAAGACCATCAAGGTTCTTCCCACGGATGCCGAGAAATTTTGGAATCAATTTAATGTTGTTCAAAAATTATTGTGTTACAGACAGACAAAGAAATGCCATTGAACTGACGCAGGGAGCTACAGCTGCCGATAGAGCACCAAATTAGACTTGCCCGTCTGGTCAGAGCCCAGAGACCCCATGGAGCTGGTGGTAGCAGGTGAGGGCGCAGCTCAGTATCCCTGCTCCCAGCCGGACACTCAGGGGATTTCGACGCTCAGAGCCAGGCTCTGCCCTGAGCCCTGGTCCCAGCAGAGGTGACACCTTGCTGAGGAGTGGGGATGGAGTTATTGGGGGGTTCCCAGCTGGGATATGGAGCAGCTGCTGGAGAATTGGGGCTGAGGGAGGGGGGGATTCCTCAAAAACAGTCACAAAACAGCTGTGGTGGGGAGGACCTACAGTAAAGGAGGAGAAGCCTCGTACCCCTAAGGCTGGAGAGTCTGCTGCCACCACTGCGAATAGGAAAC